CACAAATGGGACCCCAAAAACCTCAATGGGACCCCAAAAACCCCGAATGGGACCCCAAAAACTCAAAAGGGACCCCAAAAACCTCAAATGGGACCCCAAAACCCCGAATGGGACCCCAAGAACCACAAATGGGACCCCAAAAACTCCAAAAGGGACCCCAAAAACCCCGAATGGGACCCTAAAACCCCGAATGGGACCCCAGAAATCCCAAAGGGAGCCCAAAACCCCGAATGGGACCCCAAAAACGGGGATGGGACCCCAAAAACCCCAAAAGGGAGCCCAAAAACCCAAAGGGAGCCCAAAAACCCAGGTGGGACCCCAAAAGGGACCCAAAAACCACAAAAGGGAGCCCAAAATCCCTGAATGGGACCCCAAAAGGGACCCCAAAAACCCCCAAAACCCCAAAAGGGACCCCAAAAGGGACCCCAAAAACCCCGAAAGGGACCCCAAAACCCCAAACGGGAGCCCAAATCACAAAAGGGATCCTAAATGTTTTGGGGTGGTTTTGGGGTTCCCCAGGTGTGTTTTTGGGGATATTTTGGGGTTCCCCAGGTGGGTTTCTGGGGGTATTTTGGGGTGTTTTGGGGTGGTTTTGGGGTTCCCAGGTGGTTTTTGGGGTTCCCAGGTGTTTCTGGGGTGTTTTTTGGGGTGTTTTTTGGGGTGGTTTTGGGGGTATTTTGGGGATATTTTGGGGTGTTTTTGGGGTTCCCCGGTGGTTTTGGGGGTTCCCCAGGTGTTTTGGGGTTCCCCAGGTGTGTTTTTGGGGGTATTTTGGGGTGTTTTGGGGTGTTTTTGGGGTTCCCCGGTGGTTTTGGGGTTCCCCAGGTGTGTTTTGGGGTGCTCAGGTGAGTTCTCCCCGCAGACACCTGGATTTTGACCTGGACAAGACTCTGTTCTTCTTCATCGCCGGCCGTTACGAATTCTCCAACAAAGGCGCCGACATTTTCCTGGAGGCGCTGGCCAGGCTCAACTACCTGCTGAGGGTGACACACCTGGGACACCTGGGACACCTGGGGACAGCTGGGGACAGATGGGGACACCTGGGACACCTGGGACAGCTGGGACAGCTGGGACAGCTGGGGACAGCTGGGACACCTGGGGACACCTGGGACAGCTGGGGACAGATGGGACACCTGGGGACAGCTGGGGACAGCTGGGGACAATGGGGACACACCTGGGACACACCTGGGACACCTGGGGACACCTGGGGACACCTGGGGACACCTGGGGACAGATGGGACACCTGGGGACACCTGGGACACAGCTGGGACACACCTGGGGACACCTGGGGACACCTGGGACACACCTGGGACAGCTGGGGACAGCTGGGGACAGCTGGGGACACATGGGACACACCTGGGACACAGCTGGGACACCTGGGACACAGCTGGGACACCTGGGACAGCTGGGGACAGCTGGGGACAATGGGGACACACCTGGGACACAGCTGGGACAGCTGGGACACACCTGGGGACACACCTGGGACACAGCTGGGACACAGCTGGGACACAGCTGGGACACCTGGGGACACGTGGGGGATACCTGGGTGACACCTGGGGACAGATGGGACACACCTGGGAGACACCTGGGGGACACACCTGGGGGACACCTGGGGACACCTGGGACACCTTGGGGACACCTGGGACACACCTGGGCGCACCTGGGACACCTTGGGGACACCTGGGGACACTGGGGACACTGGGGATATTTGGGGGGGATTGGGGACATTTGGGAACATTTGGGGTCGGGGACTCCGCAGAGAATTTTGGGGACATTTGGGGACTTCAGGGGCCCCCCCAGGTGACATTTGGCCCCCCAGGTGACATTTGTGCCCGCAGGTGAATGGCAGCGAGGTGACAGTGGTGGCATTTTTCATCATGCCAGCCAGGACCAACAACTTCAACGTGGAGTCGCTCAAGGGCCAGGCCGTGCGCAAGCAGCTCTGGTGGGACCCCAAAAATACCCCAAAATAGCCCAAAAATACCCCAAAAATATCCCCAAAATAACCCCAAAATATCCCCAAAAATAACCCAAAATATCCCCAAAAATATCCCAAAAGAGCCCAAAAATATCCCCAAAAATAACCCAAAATATCCCAGAAATATTCCCAAAATAACCCCAAAATAACCCAAAATAACCCCAAAATAATCCAAAAATAACCCAAAATATCCCAAAAATATCCCCAAAAATATCCCCAAAATATCCCCAAAAATAACCCAAAAATAACCCAAAAATATCCCAAAAATATGCCAAAAATATCCCCAAAAATATCCCAAAATAGCCCAAAAATAACCCCAAAATAACCCCAAAAATATCCCAAAAATATCCCCAAAATATCCCAGAAAAATCCCAAAAATAACCCCAAAATATCCCCAAAATATCCTAAAAATATCCCCAAAATATCCCCAAAAATAACCCAAAATAGCCCAAAAATATCCCAAAAATATCCCCAAAATAACCCCAAAAATAACCCCAAATACCCCAAAAATACCCCAAAAATACCCCCAAAATACCCCCAAAATAACCCAAAAATATCCCAAAAATATCCCCAAAATATCCCAAAAATGTCCCCAAAATATCCCAAAATATCCCCAAAAATATCCCCAAAATATCCCAAAATATCCCCAAAATATCCCCAAAATATCCCAAAATACCCCAAAAATATCCCAAAAATATCCCAAAAAGCAAAAAAATCCGGCCCCAAATCCACCCCCAAAAACCCCCAAATCCACCCAAAAATACCC